GTGAGCCCATTCTCCGCTGAGTCCCCATGTTGGCTGATCCGTTCTGTCACGGTGCGTGCGGGGAGATGAAGCGAGGACTCAAGTGCAGGAGAAATGGTTATTTATTTTAATAATAAAAATGAAACAAAAACAAACTCAAACCACCCCGAGGGGGAAAAACAGACAGGCAGGCCTAAAGCTGCACCACATGCAGACACGAAACACACACAATGAGAAATGACGGCTCAGCACAGGATGACAGACACCAGGAGAATAAATAGGAACCAAACGAGGAGGCTAACGAGGGAGACACAGGTGGAGCAACTTAAACAATAACGAGGTAACAAGATGGGAGGGGCAAGACAATAGACAGGAGAGAGCACATGGCAACAGACAACACAACACAAGCCACGTGCTCACCAAACACAGTCATCTGGTGGCCCTCCTGGGCACACCCGCTGAAGACTGTGACAGTAATATGTTGATTTGCTGCTCAAAAACATTTATTATTATTATTATTATGCTGAAAACAGCAGAGTAGTTTTTTTCAGTTTTCTGAAAAAAAATTATAATGACTCCAAGCTTTTGAATGGTATAGTGTATAATGTTACAAAAGCCATATATCAGCAAATATACACTGCTGAATGGTAGTGTATATCTACTGAAAATGAATGTTCAAAGATGAACTTTTAGACATGCTAACATTTAGATGGCATATCATATCCATATAATAATGCCAAGTTGAATTTTAATGCTTATTTTACAAATAACAGTGAATTTTCAGTTGGCAATGAATAAAAACAACAGCATGCAGTTGGATTTACTGAGATCTACAGATGCATGCGTATGATAAGTGATGCAGTTCAAACCCAAGAGACAAATAAAAACCACATGTTCCTCTGGGTTGACCTATTTGTTTCCTAAAGGCTCAGGAACTTTCTTAATGTGAATGTCAAACTTATAATATTGTTTATAGAGTAAAGTGAGAACATTTCTCAACCAGCTACTTACAGTGTGTGCAAAATTACTGTATGTTTCCCAGAATAAGAAAAAAAACCATACCAGCTTCATATGTCAACTACAATCATGGAAAAGATTGTTTTCAAGAGGAACAGAAGTAAGACGTTAATTTCTTGGCGACAACACTTTCCTCTTTCCTCTTCTGCGTTCTCTCCCTCTCTGGCTCTTCACACATCTGGAAGGTAATCCGGCTGACCGTGTCTCTCCAGCGCTGCTGGTCTTATGATGTGTTTGCGCAGTTTTAGGAAGCTTTCGTACGCTGGACTTTGGCTTTAACTCTGCTGGATACTTTCAGAAGAAGCGGAGGTATGAATTTATACTTTTATACTTGTTGTTTTCCTCACGATCCATTCAGTTTTCCCAGAGCATGTGAACTGATTCCAGTTGTTTTTGATGTTAAACAGGTGTGTTAGAGGTTATCTACAGTCATGTGTTTTTCATAGTACCATATGTTTTAGTAGCTGACCTGAGGATGATGTTCTTGAGTTACAGTCAGTGTTACATAACAGTGAACTTTATGGAAAACGTGAACAGATGGTCTGTTTTTGTTTTAGAAACATTTTATGCATCAATATGAGACTTTTATTGTTTGGCAAAGAATTTGAGCATTAAATATGCTCCAAACATTTATTAAAAAGCTTCCTTTTGTATTCTTTTTTTAAACTTTTCTTAACAAATTGATAATAGTTTGAGTGATTTTGAGAACATCTTAGGTGTCTCTTTTGCTTGATCATGTTGTCCAGCATGATTTGAGATGTTCAAAAGAGCTTCAGGATCAGCTTTATGATCAATTATTTGTTATTCACAATCCTAAAAATAAAGGGTGATTTTTTTTTTTCACCTTTTAGAGAATTTTTAAAAAATCTAAAGAACTTTTTGGTGTCCTTGTTACTCATGTTACATATACTTACTATTATAATAACAATAAATGAAGCATAATTACATGCAAGTAACCCTAAACCAAACCCTAATCCTAACCTAAATTAATATTACTCAGAACTTAAATGTATAATTGCACTGTAACAAGGACACCTTAAAATAAAGTGTAACCTAACTTTTTTCCACCATAAAGAACTTTTTGTGAAATGTAAAGATTCTATGAATGTTAAAGGTTCTTTATGGAGTGGGTTTTACAGTACCATATTTCCTTGTTTTAATTTATTATGATCTCTTTTGGACCTCACTGTATATAAACTGCCTCCTATGCATGTGATGAGTCACTGAAATTGATATTTCAGTATGCTAAATATGATTTTGCCAAGTAGAACATGTTCCTGGGTCAACATCCTTGTTGTTACTGGAATAACATTCCTGTCAGATTTTAAGGTCCAGTTCGACCGATGTTCACATCAAGCTATCGTTTCCCTTGGTTTTAGTTAATGGTTGCGGTTGGGACTACAGTTACAACTATGCTGTTTGACTAAGATGTTGTAAACAAATGATGGTCATGAGGGGTTTGGAGCAGTGTTGCTATTGTTATATAAACCTGAAACATTGAAATCATTTTTATGAACAAACTTTATGTTGGTTAGAGAAAGCCATAGATAGATTTTTTCAGAATTTTAATTGCCATTTTTAAGAAAACTGTAAGACTGATCAGTTACAAAAGATAATAATACTAAAATAACTCCGGAGCTGCTGTAAGAATATTCTTTCCTCACTGGTTATTAGACTGAGATTTTTCGTGGGTTTTTCCCCAAGCGCCCACTTCAGTCGAGCTCTTCCAGCTCTCGCGGCGACCTGAACCGTGTTTATGTTAGACACCTGTTTGTGATTGTTGGAACTCATTCCAGAATTTTTTCCAGTTCATTTTCCTTCCAATTTCTTAGTAGGACTTTGGGAAACTGGGCTTCAAGCGTGGAATGCTAGGGTTTGTATGAACACGTTGGAGAAAATTGTGTTTTCACGTGCTGGATGAACCCAGGGCTGTGGCGAATAAACCACATTATCATATGGAGCGCCACAGTAATTGCTGTTGTATATGGCTGTTTGCTAATGTCCAGATATAATCACACAATGAAACTGTCCTGGATCAACCCAATTTAAAATGTCTGAGAAGTGAAAGAAATAGTTCACCCAAAAATGAAAATGTGCTGATAATTTACTCACCTTCGGGCCATCCAAGATGCTGTTTGTTTCTTCAGGAGGATTGGATTTAGAGAAATGTATGCTTGCATCACTTGCTCACCAATGGATCCTCTGCAGTGAATGGGTGCCGTCAGAAAACAGCTGATAAAAACATCACAATAATCCACACCACTCCAGTCCATCAGTTAATGTCTTGTGAAGAGAAAAGCTGCATGTTTATAAGAAAACAAAAATCATTATTAATGTGTTTTAACATTAAACTGTCACTTCTGGCCAACATATAGCAAACAAACCTGGAAAATTATATTGCTCAGAAGTTGCAGAGAGTACATTTTTGACTGAAAATAAAAGTATAAACATATAAATTGAATTCTGATAATGTAAATAATTTGTTCTTGGATATATCTGATGTAAAATATTCAAGTTCATATAGAGAACTTTGTACGGTGGCAGTGAAGTGCAAAACAAATCACAATTCTGAAAACAAAATAACAAATTACAAACGCAAATGCAAGTCTAAAAAACAAAATAACAATTCAGAAAGCACAACAACGATTCAGAAAACATTATAACAAGTCAGAAAACACAACGACAATTCAGACAAACCGGAAGAGGTAGGTATAGTCTGAGGCAGCGCCATTGGTTTGGGATTACTCACCGCTGACTGGACGAGACATCTGTCAATCAACATATACAGAGAAGAACCAGCCGAAGAACAGCAGAGTCGTGGTAGAAAGTTCAGAGATGGTATTAAAGTAGCTCAGTTTAAATGTATTGTATGAATTGCCCTTACTCTGGAATAAAAAATACGGGGTGTCTATTTACATTTAGTTAAAAGTGGCTGTAAGACATCAGATCCAGTGGCGCAGATGGATAAGCACGTGTTGTTGGCGTTTTGACGTGATCGACCCGGGTTCAATCCTGCCTTCTGCCAAACTTTTTTTCCTCCCTTTTCAAATCTCGTATTAGCAATGGATTCTATTTACACTAAGTGCAAATACCTATTTACACTATGTTAAAATAGCAGGATTTCTACTATCAAGTATACTACTTGTTGCAAATAGTGGCAATTATCTGCACTTCAATATTGTAGTACATTATAAAACAGTATGCATAATAACGTATAATGTATAATAACGTATTGAGTGTAAATTATAATTTTAATTTTAATTATTAAATGGATGCCTTCCCTACACCTACCCGATACTTTATTTTAAACTTTTTGATTATTTCCTTAATTTTTATCGAAAATAAACTTTACGATGTGATATGAGGTTTGAAAAGGGAGAAAAAAAAAGTTCGGCAAAAGGCGAGATCGAACCCTGGTCGATCGCTTTAAAAAACGCCAACGACACGCACTTATCCATCTGCGCCACTGGATCTGATGTCTTACAGCCACTTTTAACCAAATGTAAATGGACACCCCGTATTTTTTATTCCAGAGTAAGGGCAATTCATACAATACATTTAAACTGAGCTACTTTAATACCATCTCTGAACTTTCTACCACGACTCTGCTGTTCTTCGGCTGGTTCTTCTCTGTATACGTTGATTGATAGATGTCTCGTCCAGTCAGCGGTGAGTAATCCCAAACCAATGGCGCTGCCTCAAACTATACCTACCTCTTCCGGTTTGTCTGAATTGTCGTTGTGTTTTCTGACTTATTTTGTTTTCGAATTTGTCATTGTGTTTTCTGACTTGTTATAATGTTTTCTGAATCGTTGTTGTGCTTTCTGAATTGTTATTTCGTTTTTTAGACTTGCATTTGCGTTTGTAATTTGTTATTTTGTTTTCAGAATTGTGATTTGTTTTGCACTTCTCGGCCACCGTAACTTTGGCATAATTGCATATTTTGCTTTCTTCGCACATTTTGAGATGTTATTTGTGTTTTTTCCTTTCTTTTTGGAAAACTTTTGTCCTTTTATTCCTTATTTTTTTTAGCATATAAATACTCTAAAAGTCACTTAGTGAATCCAGAAAGCATCAATTCTTTTGAATCACAGGTCACAAGTGTCTAGTTTTCAGATCTGGTTTGGCCCGAGGGAAAGCACTGAGGCCCGGAAGCGATGGGTCAGCGACGCGGCCTGCTGGAGCTGCTGTGTTTGGTTCTGCTGGGCTGGACTCTGGTTCGAGGTCAGGCGGAAACAACAGACCTAAAGCTGGATGAGGAGGATGGAGAGGCGGAGGACCCACCCGGAACAGTGAAAAATGTGGAGCTGCAGATATCTTGTCCGGAGAAATGCAGCTGCAGCGAGGAGGGAGCGGTGGACTGTAATGGAGTCAGTCTCACTGAATTCCCACAGGATTTATCCGAACAGACCCGTCAGCTGTCCCTGCAGGTGCGTGGGTTTGTTTGCAGATTCTGATTGCTTCCCCATGCACACTTTTCCTGAATATTTTGCGTCTTGTTTATTTGGCGATCAAATCTGACAGAGATCATCAACAGAGCCGTAAGCATCTGAAATGCTTGGGATGTTAGAGTTGGGAGGTCTGCTCCTCTTCAACTGATTAATTTATTCATAAATCAAAAATGTCACTCATTTAAAAACAATTTTTTAAATTATTTTTTAAATGTTTTTCGAAGGTCTCTTATGCACAGCATGGCTGTATTTATTTGAACAAAAATACAGTAAAAACTGTAATATTGTGAAATACAATTGCATTTCAAAATAACCTTTTTTCTATTTGAATACATTTTAAAATATAATTTATTCTTGTGGTACAAAGCTGAATTTTCAGCATCATTACTCCAGTCTTCAGTGTCACATGATCCTTCAGAAATATGCTGATTTGCTGCTTAAGAAACATTTCTGATTATTATATTATCAAGGAGCAACATCGATTTGAATGAATAGAATAGAACCTTTTTTACATTATAAATGTCTGTTCAATCTCTTGCTAAATGAATAAATCAATTTTGTTGTTGTTGATATTTGAAAAATCGAAAACTGTTATTTTAAATTGTAATAATATTTGACAATTACTGTTTTTACTGGAATTTTTTTCTTTTCTTTTTTTCAAAAAATTGCACCCGTGGTGAGCAGAAGAGACATCTTTCAAAAACATTAAATAATTGAAATAATTCCAAACTTTTGACTCGTAGTATATATATATATATATATATATATATATATATATATAT